GAAGTGGGACGCTTAACCGACTGCGCCACCCAGGCGCCCCTCCCTTTCCCTTCTTGAAAGTTAATTCAATTTATGTGTCTTATGTATCTTTCAGTACTCTGGAACTAAAACCGGACTTTGTAATTTTTCTAAGGGCTGTGTGGACTCCATATCCATCGAATCGAGGAATTCAGGAGCTAGAAGGGATTTGGCAATAATCTAGGCTGAGCCCCTCCTTTTTGAAATGAGGCTTCTATGAAGTGACTCACATTGTAGGATATATTTTATCCAACTCCAATGTAGTAATGCTACTACTCTATTTTCTTGGTGAACTTGAAATTTGGTCATGCAGTGTGTATTTACTAGTAATATGCAACTGTGTATACTGTTGGTAAAAGTCCTTTTCCACTCCTAGCCTACTCACTAAAATAATTCCAAAAAGGCGTATAAGTCCCTGTTAAATTTGGAGAAGAAAGCCTGAAATCAGAAGCAATATTTATGTCTTACTTTTTAAAATTTCTTATATATTGCCGAGATAATCTTAGATCGTAGATATAGTAAAAATGTCTCACAGTGGAACAGTTATATCATTCCATTCATATCATTCCCGCAAGGATAACCGATCTGATTTTAACTGCCAGGAGTCTGTTTTTCCTTTAAATTTTGCTTGTAATCAGAGGGTCTGAAGGCGACTAGAGAAGGGGAGAGATACGTGCAACCTAGAATAATGAGATTTTTATCTTGACTGCAGTGTGTGGCCTTTTCTGGCATCCAGTGAGTGCTGGGAGGAGTGGGCAAAGTGAGGTCGGGCACTGTGCCATTAATTTCAGGACATTATTTCTCAGGCAGTGCCCTGTGCTGGGGCCATCAGTTGAAATGAGTGAATAAATCATAGGGGATACACGTACTACAGGTGACGCTGAAGGCTATTTTTAGACATCGGTGGCGTGATGAACTTTTTTCTCGGTTAGCATAGGGTTACCGTAGCAAATCATTCACGTCTCATTAAATTGTTCTGAGCCCGCACTTTCCGCTTGTTAGCGTGGACTCCGTGGCCCTCATCTGTGGCTTGTTCTGGCCTTGAAGACATTTCCGCGGATTTTGTTGCTCCCAAGCTGTCACTCTAAAGGCAGTTGATGGGGGTGGGTAGATTTGCATTTTCATTCGCTGCAGTCCAGACCAGCTGGTCCTCGGCCTTCCGCCGGCTGTGCGCGGCCGGTGGGAGAGGGCCCACCTCGGAGTCTGCAGCGAGGCACCCGAGTGTGGCACGGCCCTCTCGAGGAGGCGCCGCTGCGCGTCCGAGGGCCCCCGGGTCACGCGCCGCCGCGGACAGGCGGACCCGTTTGGGGACCCATCCCTCGGGGCACCTCCCCTCCCCCTCCCTGCAAGATGGCGGCTGCGGCCGCCCACGTGACTGGCGCGCCGGCCCCGCCCCTGGGAGGGCGGGCTGAGGCCGGGCCGCGCCTCCCGGGGGCTCCCTTAGGCCTCCGCGGGCTAGGCCGGGGCGCGGGGCTGAGTGGAGAACCACGTGGACGCTGTGCTCCGAGCAAGGCAAGGGGAAATTCGTGTGGCAGCCTTTCATTGCCCCGGAAGTAACCTTTCAGACACGTGTGTAACTTTCCGCCAGGAATCATTCCGTTTCTTATTACTTTGATCCATACAAAACGCACATAAAGTGGAATTAATTTCCTTTTCCATTAGAATAAGTGTACTGGCCCGAAATAGCGTTTCTGGCTCTTTCAAGACTTGTATTCGATACCTGATATGCAACAGCTTCTTTTTGAAAGTTTTGTGTAAAAAAACTAGTAGAATCTGTGCTTTAATACGAATTTTATGTTAATTATATGCCTTTCAGGTTGACCAGTGCCAGCAAGTGTGTGGTGACATACCGTCGTTACGATGCAAATAGTCGAGGTGACAGTCCACAAACTTACCACGAGAATATGCTAATTAGTTCATTTTAGACAAATGAAAGATTTAAGTAGATATTTATATTTAAAAGTAACATGTCTTGAGTTTTGTTATGTGATTTAGAGTAAATGTTACATTGGATTATAGCTGAAGTATTGCCTTTAGGAGACTTGTGCGTGAAGTTCATGTTCTTCAAGTGCTGTGGACTGCCAGTCACTTACATAAAATTCAACATACAGTATTAAGTGTTTTAGGAAATTTGTGCGATTGACGTAGTTCTGTGTTAATAAAGTTACACACTGCATATGTAGCATACCTGGAAAAAATCAGTTTTAAAAATGGGTCCCTTATTAGTAGGGACCCAAACTTAGTGGTTTGTTAACAGTAGCAACAAAAAACTGTATTTTAAAAGATACTAGTTTTGTTGCTGTTTCATTGAAAAGAGGAAAGACCGCCAAGCTTCCTATCTTTGCATGCATAAGGACGCTCTGCTCATCAAAATGGATATTCTGCATTTGGAGATTTAGCTCCCAATTAACAGCACAAAGGCAGAAAAACATAAAATACATAAGCTATCATAGTAGTGGTTAGTGGTTAATATTGTTGGTATGGCTGTGTTCTCTGCAGGTCGTGTTTTCAGCATCCTCAAAACATAGTTGCTTGGCAGATAGCTTGAATAAAGCTTAGAAACTGAAATTTTCAGATAGTATTTAGTGCAGTAGATAGTATTTAATGTTATTTGGACTCACAAAAAACATACTTGAATTCAAAAAAGTATTAAGTGGCCGTGGGTCTTTTCCTTAGAAAAATCGATCAAGATATTAAAAAAAAAAAGGAAATTTTGCAAAATTGTGGCTTCCTCATGGCACAGGTGAATTAGCCACGTGGTACCTGACAGAGCAGTAATCTCAACTCATTTGAATAGAACACGTAGTGTACTGGTAGTGTTGGGACCCGGAAAAGAAGACTTCAAAAAGAGTTTTGGCATAAAGGCTCCTACTCTGAGATAACCAGCATGTGTATGTGGCAGCTATCCTATGAGAGCACTGTCTAAAAATAAGAGAAAAGTCAGCGGTCAGGATTTCTGCTGTTATTATATTAGGCACTAACAAGATGCTTTCTTTCTGAAAGTGATTTTTAAGAACGGCTCTAATCTCCCAGGTAGTAAATACTTTTATTTAATTGTTGGCCACTGCTGGGGGATTTTTAAATGAACAGTGTCACTGGAGCAGTGGGCGCTAAGAAGGCTTTCCTCACTCCTACTGTGGGGATAATAACAGTACTTAGGTGAGGTTGTGAGGATTAAACGAACGAGTGCTTGAAGAATAACGTCTGATGCATGATCTTCAATAAATGTTGGCAATTATCGGTAAAAGTTAAGTCTTGTCTGGAGGGTGATGGGAGAAGAGTGGGTAGACCGTCTCACAGACTGGGAGTGGGGAGCAGAAGCAGCCGTGCCTTTTATAGGAAATTTTAGGTTGGTTTGGCTGCAGCGAAGTATACAAGCAGCTCAGCTAATAAATGCCATTTGAAAGAGGCTTTGAGAATATCAGAGTTAGTGATTATTTTAGTAGAAAAATGGGAGTGACTGAGATCCTCCACGGTGTAGGGAAAGTCTTTCTTAGACCACAGTAGGAGGAGAGGGTGGTGGAGATGGGAAGGAAGCAACTTCTTTTCCTGAAATTAACTAGTGTGGTATATCTACACCTTTTATGATATTTTTGTGGGGCAGGGCATGGGAAGTGTGCCTTAGAGGCTACCAAAGGCCTTGAAGGGTGATAGCCCGTTTAGCACTAGACTTGGCTTAAATTCCTACTCTGCCGCTCTGTGACATTAACCAGGCTACTTAAGTCCCTGAGCTTCAGTTTTATCTTCGAAATGGGGATAATAACTTTCATTTCAGGTTGTGGTGATTGAATTAATGAGATAAGATGCAAAATAATTCGCATCCTGTCTTGAGCATGAATGTTCTCTTGAGAATGATGCTCAGTGCATTTTTCTTTTCCAGATGGTTAAATCAGTGGTTTTCAGGAATGGACGTGTTTTTTTTTTTTCTCTTCACCACTTAATAAAAGTCCATATGATGCAATATTTTTCATATTCTTTATTATCATACCTCTAAATTGATTGGTGTTCAGGAAGGATGGGTAATTGGAAAGGTAGTGTTTGAGCCATGTATTTGGGGCTGTTATTTGTTATTTGTTATTTTTATTTTTTTAATTAAGTAGGCTCCATGCCCATCGTGGGGCCGGAACTCATGACCCTGAGATCAAGAATCGTGTGCTCTGCTAACTAAGCCAGCCAGGTGCCCCTGGGGCAGTTATTTTTAATATTTACATTATAGAGATCCATGTGTTACAAATAAACCCGAAGGAAGCATTTCTCTGGGTCACAAATTATTGAAATACATAGTTTCTCCATATCGGGTTTGGGGATAGGAATAGGGGAATATATGTATTCCATATTTGGATTATCATTAACTCCCAGGCAACTATACTTAAATCTTTATCGGGTTTTCACATTTAGCTAGGAAACTGGCCTATAATTTAAAGCTATTTTGCAGTTTTTTTTTTAAGTTATATGATTGTTTGTTACTTCAGAGCACAGCTTGGAATCCATGCACTTAAAGGAACATTTTATACTTTTTCTATAGAAGCTATTAAATTGGCTAATTTTTAAGCTGATTATTTTTGTCTTTGAGGTATTATTTATTTATTTATTTTTTTTTTTTGGTAAGAGCAAAAAAAGACCTGCACTACCCCAGAAGCAGACTGAGCTTCACTTTTATCAACCTTTTTTCATTATGGAGGACTTGTAACAGAGGATGCCTTGTCACAAAAGCCTCCTTCATGCAGTCTATGTAAACAGTCACTCTGGAAGCGTGTTTGTGTTTTAGGTGGCAGAGCTGCTGGGTGCCCGTAGTCCATTTCCCTTCTGTTCTTCCTATGCTCCAGGGAACATTTGGCCTCTCATTCCCCTCTAAATGTCTTCGCTCGTTCGGAGTGTTTCATGCTTATTCAAGAAGTAATTTATTTGAGGTCAGATTTAGGTTTTAAAAAGGTCACTTTGGCAAGTTATTTGGTCTTCACAAGTTTCAGGCTGCTCCGAATAAAGTAGGGGTATCATCGCCGTTTCTTGCATGTAATTGCTGTGAAGATGAACCTGATCACGTGTGTGAAAATGCTTGGCAGACAAGGGTGAGTTGTATATATCATTTGATCTGTCCATCGTTCAAAGAGGGAATAGCACAATTTGCAGTGGATGAACAGAAATGCAAAAGTTGGAAGAGCTGATAGGGTTTGGGTTACAGGGGACCTTGACAGTCTGGTGAGAGGAGTAGGTTGTCAACACGCTGCTGTGAAAGCCATTGAGGAGACGTGTGCACGCACCAGTGGTGTATCTTCCTAGAACAGCCACTGACGCTTTCTTTAAATGCGATGTGTGTGAAAAGCGTGAATCGTTGATTCAGGAAAAAAAAAAAAAAATCTTCCAGACTAATCTGGTTCTCTCAGGGAGCGATTTTACTTCTTATCACTCTGATTTGCTTGATGACCCTAATCCTCTCTTCCCCTCCTACCCTGAATCTACTCTTTCCTCATCCTTGCTGTCACCGTTCTCTTTTGGGACTTTATTCCTAACGGATTCCACTTCTGTCAGCCTTCCTACCTCTTTACCTGTTGGATACTCCTGCCAGTATGTCTTCCTAAAGTAGTATTTAATCATCTCACCTGCCTCACAGTGACGGATGGAGTCTGGCCTCCAGTAGGTCTTGGGACTCAAAATCCCTTTTTCCCACTTTTTTCATACATCATGCCTCCCAGTCAAAGCTGGCCTATGTCATCACCTCTTGCATGATGTTTTCTGGAATTGCCCCTGTGATTCTTTGCTGCTTCTGAATTCCAGTAGCATGTATATTCTGTGCTGTAAATTTGGTACTTCTATGATTTTTTTCTGTTTTTTTTTTTTCAAAAATATTACTTTGAAATATTTTTAACTTATAAAATTGACCTTTCCGCCTAGATTTTAAGTTCCCCAAAGGCTTAGACATCGTGTTCCTTTTTTTTTTTTTTT